TTATTTATTTTATAAATATTTCCAGAATATATTATATATACATATTACGCAAATAATATATGTAGATAAGTTAATATGGTTAAGATAAGTGTACATGTGTGTGAGCAATTTTATAAATAGCAAATAATAAATTAATAAAATTATAAATTGTGCTGACCTTATGGTTGCTCCGCCGATGCCTTCCTGAGCTTCCCTCTCCTTTCTTGGTTGTTTCTAATGGCACATGACACTCGTGAAAACAATAATTATGCGCACACTAATTACCAAAATGATGATGATTGCGCAAAGCTTTATATCGTACTCGCCATGTTTATCGCGTATGACGCATACTTATTTTATAATATGACGACTAAAAAATAATAAAAACTACCGTTATAGAAATTGCAATTCGTTTAGTACGGAAAAATTATGCGAATACAATGCTATTTCTACTATTAAAGAACAATATACGCACGAATTTATGACACATTTTATTAATTACACAAATAATACGACGACACGGTATGAAATCACTACCTTTCTACTTGACTCTCGCCTCGTGAATGATAACAATGTGACCGCGTGTAACCTTTATGTACAATAGCGATACATCGCAAGGAATGTCGAATCACGTCTTTATTAATTATATCACAAATAATACGATATGAAACACGTCGTGTCGTTACCTTTCCACTCGCCTCGTGAATGTAACAAGATGATTGCGTGTATACAATATACGCCACAAGAGCGAACCATGATAACAACGTAACATAATTAGCCTACTATAAAATATTTACAGTCTACTATAAAATATTTAACACAATTTTTATAAAATAAAATATTCTATTTTGGAATTTTGATTTAAATACTACTAAATAAATTGATATATCATGGCTTTTCTTTGACATTGATTGATTTATTTCTCTCAATATTCGATTACTATATTACTTTTCTGATCTGGAAATAATTAACAGGAGAGAGAAATTATAAATTATCGTTTATGCAATATTTACGAGCGATAATTATTTCCCTAAAGACATTTGTATTTTAATCCTTTTAGTGCCAAACAACGATATATCATCTTTTTTCTATAATTTTGAATAAACATTATTAATTGATTTTTAACAAATATCGAAATACTTTTGTCATTGATTTTTTCCCCTCATTTCTTAACATGTTCCTTTTTAAATTTTGTAATTAGCATTTTTTTCCAAAATTGTTATAACTTTTTTTCTCTCCTTAATAAATTACATCAATACTTCGCTCGGCTCGGCTCGGTATTTTTCGTTTAGATACAACTTTTTCGATCGGCATTAAAAGGGTTAATATACCTTGTATTGTTTCTTGAATTTTTTTCGTTTATTTAAATACAATAAGTTACATGTCCAGATTAAGAATACGTAATAATATACAAATCATAAGATCGAGTAATTCAAAAAATGCCGTGATACATCAAACGTTTACTAGTAATTAATTTGAAATCATAAAAGTATTTTGTATATATGTACTTACTTTGTAACGCGTTAAATATTTTACGACATTAATGAAATTTTGAAATTTTAACTATTATATAATATTCGATGTTTTTCTTGCGACGTATAGCGCGCCACTGTGTATAATACTACATACTATATAAGGTCAACGCGCGGTCACATTATTATCATTCGCGTGGCAAGAGTTATGTGAAAAGGTAACGACGCAGACACTTCATATCGTGTCATTCTACGTATTGCTACAATTAAAGAAATATGTAGTAAAATTGTATTAAATTCGTACACGTGATCTTTAACAGCAGAGATATATTCGATCGCGCGATTTTTTAATGTCGAACGAATTGTAACTTCGTGTAACCGTAGTTTTTATACTTTTTTATCGTAATAAAATAAAGTAAGCATCATACGCGTTTGATGTGGTGAGCATTATATAAAATTCCGCGCAATTTGTTGCCACTTTCGTCGTTGAAAGTGATTAGTTCGTGCATAATCCTAATTATCGTTTTCGAGTGAGTATCATGTGAATGCCATTAAAGAGTAATCAAGAGAGAAAGAAGGCCCAGGAAAGTATTAGACCTCGACGGAGCAACCACGAGGTAAGCAATTTATAATTTTAATATTTTATTATTATTTGTAAAATTGCTTGCTTATTTCCGCGATAATAACTCATCTTACATCATTTGATGTAATATTATATATATAATTAGTAATCATATATGTATACATATGTATGTATAAAATAATTATAGTTTTTTAGAGTATTAATAAAAATTAAATTTCTATATATCCATTTTATACAAGCTTATTTAAAAACAAATTCTTTCAGAAATTTCCGTATTTTTAAAATTTTTAAACATTTTAAACAGACAAATATAAGAATTTAATAAAGCGCAATAAAATTATTTGTTGGAATAAAATTAATCACTTTAAAATTAATTATTTATTAAATTGCTTTATATAATTTGAATATATTTATATTTTACAGATCAACATTATATTCTACAATTCCGTCGTTGTTCATCGTACCGGTAAGTGTTAAATTATCTTTTTTATTTCAATTTCTTTTGCGAGACAAATTTACGAATTATAGAGTATATATAAATATATATAAACTTTAATTTACAATAGTTAAGAATTTTTTTGCATTATTTAATCTTATAAATTATTTGATGGATACATATAATATAAAAAATTCTTTCCAAAAGATGTAAAACAAAATAAGTAAAAAATATAAAATAAATAAAAAAGTATTTTACATTTTTAATTGAAATAATTGATTCTTAAAATGTAAGAATTTAAAGCTGGCGAATTACACCTATGTTTCTTTGAATTGCGCATCTGATAGAATTACCACTCTAACATATTTGGAAACTTCTGTGAAACCTGATAGCTTCTTTATTAAATCAAATTTAGGAAATTTTAATATTAAAATCAAAGAAGAATAATAAATTATGCATTAATATAGTAGTTTATTCTAATAGTATAATAGTAATATTGCTCTCTTGAATAAAGTTTATCAATAACTTAAGCTTTATTCTCGATCATTTCTCCAGGATACACTTTCGGTCGCCTTTAGCTAAAGTCGATCTAAAATTTAGGTTCACATCGCACGCGGGTGGTGAGGGAGGGGTTTGTTGAGGGTGGACCCTTTTACCGGGGGCAAACACAAAATGCATTATTTATTGCCCGTAGCGGCTGGCAATTCATCGAATTCCCGCTAAAAGCGAAAGAGTTGAGGTCGAGGGCTGGCACTCGTGCAACGCGAGGTGCGTTCGTCGGAAATGGCCGCGGAGGTAGGGTTAAGTGGTACCTTTTTTCCTTTCTACCCCTTTGCACATTCTCACGCGTGTACACGCATTCTCCTGCGATTGAAAACTTTCCATCTCTTCTTATATCGTATATATTTTTTATATTCGTACTTTATGTTTTATATATAGAAAACTGGCACATTCAATAATGTTATTTTGCCAGAATTTCTCTTCGCGGTTTTCGACATTTAATGTCAAAGATTTTTAATAACAAAAATTTTAATGTCAAAAATTTTTAACAACAAAAATAAGGTAAAAGCATAGAGAATGTTTGAAATCTTTTTTTATTCTTTGATTTTTATTTTCTTTATAAAGAGAGAGAGAGAGAGAGAGAGAGAGAGAGAGAGAAATGACACATACACAGAATTGTTTTTGAAACTAGATTATTAAAATCAAATTTGAAAAATCTTATTATCTTTTTATCTTCGACCAATGAAATCGATAATTATTTATATAGATAGAATTCCACGTTTTTGTAACTTTCGTTTCCTTTTAAGAACAAATCACCCGTAAGTTTTCGCAGCACTAATTGCCAAGGCAGTGGATGAAATTCGTCGGTACCGTAAAAGGGTGTCGCGAGGGGATGCACAAAGTGAATCGAATAAACGTCCAATCCGGGTTGCCCGTCCCTCTTTTTCACTGCTTCTCCCTCTCTCTCTCTTTCTCCTTCTCTTTCTCCTTCTCTCTCATTCCTCCGCTCCGTGATTTATGTTAATGTTTTTGTCTCGGAAGCGAGATACACCAAAAGGCGATTCGATTTGCACGGGCGCGGCACCCCTGCAGTTTTCGCTACGACGCGGATTAACTTAACTACCTTAAGACGGCAATAAAGGTCGTCGACGCGATTTAACCGGTTCCCTTTTACTGCGGCACCGATACCCCGGCACCCGTAACGTTAAACCAATGTCTAGGTTGCATATTGACGGTAATGGGAAAAGTTCGGTCTTTCGGTATCTGACTTTACGCGGGGGTGCGTCGATCAATCAATCGGACCTCGCGAGCCCTACTAAACCCTTTCTCCTCGGTTCCGCCTTTTTCCTTCCGTTCGCTCGACGACTTCTGATCGGTATTTCAAAGTTTTTTCAACGTATAGTCATAGCAGTTTTAAAAATGATTTGAGTGCCACGATGGTGCAAACTATAAGTCGAACATTGGAAATTGTTCGAGAAAAACGATAAATAATAAAACGTTTTTTGTGGAGCATAGTAATATCCAATGTTACAAGGGATGATAAAGCAATTTACGTTAACCGTTTTTCTTATATATAGAATAATGTAGGACAAGTGTAACAAACTTTGGAAGGACAGTTTGTATAAAAAATTTCATATAAACGTAGATTTTATTCTTAATATTTGTATGTAATTTCAGAAATTATAAAATTTTGCTTTTATCATAGTAAAATCATTATAATTATAATATCATAGTATCAATTATAAAATTGTTATAAAGAGCTGATATCTCATTTGTTGTTTTATTTTGATTTTTCAAAGATCGCTTTCTATCAAGCATGTGATTTTTTTATTGTGATAACAGCGACAATTTGACAATGTTTGTAATAAAGTTTCGAGAATAGAACACATGTTCATATGACATTTTTCAAAATGATTTTCAAACAATCTGTCAAAATTTGTTTTTGAAATATTTCTTTATAATGTAAATGCTGAATTTTCTCGCTATTTATATAAACTTATTTGATGAGAACTTAATTCTAAAAAAGTTAAAGAAAGAAATAAATATTATAAATAATAATAAATAGAATATAGATAATAAATAAAAAATAATATGTACATGAGAATATCATATAAAACATTAATTTAAAGTTATGCGTATCTTATCTAAAAACTTTTGCAATGATTGATACGCAAATATAAAATATATGTTTTTAGCGTAGAATTTAAAATCAGATATCTAATATTTAAAAAAAAGTATAATTGATCGTGATATTCTCTTTCACTTATTCTCTTTAATACAATGCTAGAGATTCAATAAGCTTTTCATAAAATTAGCATTAAATAAATACAATCAAACGGTTATAAATACAATCTCGATCCAGTTACATAGATATTCGAGGATCGACTGTATAAGAAATGAAAGACTGATAAAATGAATGAGAAAATATGAGAGAGTAAATGGAATGAAGTTCTTAATAATGTCTTGTTATCGATATCTACAATATTTGTATACCAGTTTATTTTGCAAATTTTTATTCAACACATCTACTGACAATTCCATAAATAGATTCTCTACAATTTTTTTCTCGTTTTTAAAAAGTTGAGAGTTTAATTTTTTAACAAGATAACGCGACAGATCCCTCTACCGCCAGCAACACTCGACAATCTGAGCTCCCCGTAACGCGGATTACAATACACGACAAGACGATATAGTAGTCGTCGGATCATTCTCGTAGAAATTTTGAAGCACGACGATGAGGGTGGCGAATATGCGCCTCGATAGTCCGTATATCGTATAATAACTGCTCTCCGGACTTAGCCGCGGCCCGCAAAGGGATCGTCCTCTCCAGGTTAAATCGCCGCGTAAACGCCTTGCTATATGGATCGCCATGGATTTCGTTTCGGAATTGGCGCGAGCGAGTGAGGCTCTTAGATAAGGTAATCCGGACCTCGAAAACTCGTCGAGAACATCCCCGAAAACACCCTCGCATGCCGGTGTACCTGCTGGGAAAACCTTCCGGCTGATTAAACTCTTTCGTGCTGGAGGAAATACAGTAATAAAATTAAAAATTTTTCTTGACGATCATTAACGATTAGTTTGATTGCTGTGATATCATTTGCTAAAATGTGACAAAACTGTAAAGATCGTGTTTCTTTTAATATCTTTATATATTTCTTAATATTATAGTAATATTATAATATTATAAAAACTCGAATACATTTTTATTGTTTTGTTTTATGTTTGTTGACATATAAAATTATATGTGTGTTTGAATAATGAAATTCATATTCAATATTTGACATCAGTTTGAAAAGTGTATATTATCACGCTTCTTATATTTTTCTGTTAACCGCAGTAGTTTAAAAGCAAAATATTTTTATAAAAAAAAGACATTATGCAATATTAATAATTATTAGCTCATACTCGAAGAATTTGCACATATTTCTTTGACAAATGTCAATAATAATAATTGAACAATTAAACAGAAATATATATTTGAAAAAATGTTAAAGATATTAAAAGAGATGCGAAGCGATCCGTTGTCTCAATTGTCAACCAATTAACTATACTTTACATTAATAAAAATATTAATTATATAAAATTCCTAAACCATGTCAAAAATAACGGAGAGCACATTTCTACGCATACAATGAATAGAATAAGGAAGATAGGAAGACTATTGTTAAAAAAAGCCTGCAGACGCGACGAGAAAGTAATAATAATCATAAGATCACGCAATTTTCCAGAGGAGTCGCAATTATATTACGAGTCTTGGAGAACGTCATGGTATGCAATGTACGTAAAACCGACGGCGGTTTAGAAACGAAATTAGCACGTGGTGAGCGACAGTGAGTTCTCACGTATATCGTCGCGTAATTCTTTTCCAAGGATAACGACGCGTACTTTTCTCGGCAGCGGCGACGACGAAGTGACGGAAAAGGGGATTCCCCTGTACCTGATGCAATTAACTCGCTATTAGCGGAGCAGACGTTGAGCAGGAGGCCCGGCCGTTACGAAAGTATAGCCCGTTGTACGTGATTAAAGCGGGAATTCGTTATGGGCGCATCGGCGCGGCCTCGTCGATAAGATTAATTGATAAATGGTCGAATCGATTGGCGCCGTTGTAGTTTCGTTACGACGGCTTGGTGGGGCCTCGCCGACTGACTGGCAAGATAAATATCTCGTCGCGCGATGCTGTTACCGTATAATCGGATTTAATTCGAGCGCACGTAACGGCGTTGATACATGAAAGATTATCATTACCGCCTTGATATCGGTCATTAGCCGCATGCATCCATTTCCCACAATAACATTGTGAGAGACCGAATTAATTAGCGTTACCGAAAAAATTCGAAGGTTACTCCTTTTTCCATTTATTGCCTTCTCTCAAATTCTAATTATGCATGATATATTTTTATTAATATATTAAAATATATAAAATATATGAAATATATAAAATATATGAAATATATAAAATATATGAAATATGTAAAATATATAAAATATAAAATATATAAAATATGTAAAATATGATATATATAAAATAT